TATATATATATATATATACATATATATAAATTTCCACAACTAAGTTGCAAGGAAATGGACATTCAGACATTGTAAGCAATTTGCCCAAAGTTGTACCAGTAGTTAATTGTAGAGTCAGAATTTGAGCTAGCTCTCACCAACTCCAAACTATTTTCTCTACATATAAATAATCACCTTTGACTTCAGTGGTTTAACTTCCAGACTTTCAAGCTAGACTATCTGGGATCAGATTCCAACTCTACCACTTGCTGGTTACATCACTCCGGGCAAATTGCTTAATGACTCTGTGTCTTAGTTTCCTGATTTGTAAAATTAGGATGATGATGATTTCCCTCTCACAGTTTGTTATAGAGGCAACGGACATGTAATAAACACCATAGGCATGGCTTGTCCATAGAGTGTAAGATCTGTGGCACGGGACTAAATGTCATTTTTGTTCACTCCTTTATCTCTAGCACTTAGAATAATGTCTAGCACATATAGGCAATATTGTGGCATGAATAGAAAATATACAAACTAGAGTCTTTAGGTTGTGATTGCACTTAAAGCTAGCTTGAATAAACATGGCTCTTTTTTAACATTTTTTAAAATAATAAATCAATGTAATGGGTTAAAAAAAAGTCATAATTTGAAGTATAATAATGGAAGCAAGTGATTACCCTAGTTATTTTAATGTTCTCAACTATGTGGATGTAAATACAGAGATTAAACAAGTCTGTAGTACATAGCAGGTATAGAGAGTGGCTTTGGATATCCTCTCTGGGTTCTTTGCTACTTCCAAAGTTGCATGTTATGGAATTTATTTAAAAGTTCTTTTCATCCATTCTTTTCCCCTTCTGTAAGTCTGTTTTTGTCATGTGGATTTTTATCTCTGAAAGTTTTATTTTTATTAAGCTTGTGTCTTTTTTGACATCGTGCATTCTAAATCCAAGTCACTGTTTAGTAGCAACAGCTGCTGGGAGCCAATATAATAAATGAATTATGAACCCATTTACCTGGCAAGTTTGCCTTTGATGTCTACCCTTCAACAGTAACAGGGGCTGCAAACAGCAGCAAGGCCTCTGGGATAAAAAGCAACCTAATCAGAGAGTTTGTGCGTGCACACAGAGGAAACATGCAGGAAACATGTGAATAGAAGTGCCTTTGGAGCAAACATGCTTTCTTGGTTGGATTTATGTAGGGGCTTCTACTAGGATGTATGCCCAAGACACTCTACTAAGATGTATGTTCACACTCTGGCACCTTGGTAGAAAATCATTGTTAAGACTTTATTGAATGTATGGCAAGTATATGTGATGTTTATTTGTAAAAAACTTTATTGAATGTATGGCAAGTATATGTGATAGTAATTTTCAGTGGCAATAAACTGATAACCCCCAATATACAGCAAGGCACTGGGGTTCTAATCTTCCTCCCTGCTTTGCACTGTGCACATTATTAAGATGAAGCATATCACAGAATTATACAGCAGTAATTTATACAACAAGGAGACCTGCGGCACAGTGGTTAAAGTGCTCAGCTGCTAACCAAAGAAATAAGGAAAATTTCCTAAGGTCATACAACTAGTAGGTAGCCAAAATGGAATTCAAAGCCAACAAATCTAGTGAAGTGTTACCTCTTTCAGCCATAAAATGACAGCGTGTGAATTAAAGTGTTTCGAGAAATCTACTAAACACTGTATTTATTCTTTCTTCATATAGGTCGCTACCCTCAGGAAAACAAGGGCACCTACATCCCTGTTCCTGTTGTCTCAGAACTACAAAGGGGAAAGTGGGGGGCCAAAGTTGTCATGAGAGAGGACAGGTCCGTCCGGCTGGCTGTCCAGTCGTCTCCAGAGTGCATTGTGGGGAAGTTCCGCATGTATGTTGCTGTCTGGACCCCCTACGGCATAATCCGCACCAGCCGAAACCCCGAAACGGACACATACATCCTCTTCAATCCTTGGTGTGAAGGTAAGGAGCAGGTTTGCATTTTTTTACAAATAAACAACACTTCACATATTTCCAATGCAGCTGATTTTGGATGGGTAGCAGGATTGTTCTGAAAGACACTTCTCTTTCCTACAAACACTGTTTTCTATGATTGGTTGGGGGGAAAGACATGCAAAATCTGTCCTCAGTGTGTATCAAAAATCAAACCAAACTCACTGCCGTGGAGTCAGATCCCACTCATAGTGACCCTTCCTTGGGTTTCCAAGGAGGTATCATTATGGAAGTAGATCGCCCATTCTTCCTTCCCAGGAGTGGCTGGTAGGTTTGAACCTCCAGCCTTCTGGTTAGCAGTCAAATACCTCAGCACTACGCTGCCAATATATGAGGGTAAAACCTATATATATGAAGTTAATACTACCATGCATTTACCCAGGAATTCATTAATCAAAGATCGTCCAAAGATGCACAGTTAGTTGACCATGGAGCTATGTAGCTATATGTGGTTTCTATAGCCTGTGTGTATAGTATGGCTGTTAAAAAAATAAAAAAGGATTTCTTAATTTGATTTTCAAAGCAATGAGGATTCTTGACTGACTTCAGGAAAACTGAATAAAGTCAGTCCTGTCCATCTGGAACTTGCCTCTCTGTCTCCCTAGTTCAACTGCAGGAAATCTGAATGTCTAAAGGATCCTATAAGTTTATTTATATGCATAAACCCCAAACCAAATCCACTGCCATTGAGTCTGTTTGGATTTTTAATGATCCTTTAGGACAGAGTAGAACTGCTCCATAGGGTGGGTTTCCATTAAATGCAGAGTAGGGCAAATTTCGAAAGTCATACCTTTGGATGTTCAAACATGTAACTTTGTTTTAATTGTAATACAACTTAATCACTACTGCTATTTTGAGTCTTTCTTCCTGTTTGCTAATCTAATCATATCCAAATCTACTCATACCCAAATCAGAATGGCCAAGTTCAACAATTTGAGTTCTATTTAAAATCTCAGTCACAATCAGAATTTTCTCTCCATCCCCATGTCTCCCCACCTGCCTCCACCCACCTCTACTTGCTCCCATACTTGATATGTGGCAGATTCTAAATTCCAGACAGAAGAGGATGCCAATGTTGCAGCAGCATTGATAGTGGAGGGTCCACTTTCAGATCTTAAGAAACAAGGCATTGAAATATAAAAGCTGAGGTATCATCAAGGAAATTTTCATATCATCGTAGCCCAATGTATTGCTCTCTAATATCTTTCAGAATGAGTCCCTATTATTGCTGATTTTGAATGATCCTTCTTTGTGAAAGCTGTATTTTGATAAGGATTGATCTGATCTGGATATAGCCAGTCAGTGGATAGCAATGTTTTCTATTCATATAAAAAAAAACATTAACCTAGATCATAATGACCCTTACTTTGAGTTATCTCTTCCAATAGTGTTGACAGATGGAACACAGCTAACCCAATACTCCCCATCCACCCACCCCCATCATCTCATACTCAACACTCCTATCTGTGAGACAGATGTTCAAGGTGAACAGCAATATGAGATGTTGGCTGGGCCTATGCAGTTCAAAGGTGCCATTAACGGAGGTGAAAAACATTGAGGGAATGGAGGCCTAGAGGTAAACTGAGATTTTGAAAATGTTAAATTGGACATATGTGGATCTCCAAGTGGAAATGACAAGTAGGTAACCAGATATGTGAATCTGGAGATAAGATTTACAGGTGGAAATTTGGGAGTCATCTGTACCTAGGGAGATGTAAAAAGTCCCAAAGATTTCAAGCCTTTAGCTGTCTGTTAGAGAAGGATTTAGCAATGGATACTGGGAGAAAGGGTTTTGTAACAGGTGGCCCATTGTAAGAAATCCTGTTTTAAAAATACTTACAAAATAAATAAATGTTTTAAATTATGTTTTTAAAATACTTACAAAATAAATAAATCAGGAGTTTGTTATTGACTTTCTTTGCATTGCAAAAAGAAAACTACAAGCTTCATATAACTACCCAGCACCCTAGGGTATTTAAAGAATATTGTGATTCACCCAAGCTTTGTCACAGCTTTTCTGAATCCCATTGTCTGTGTAAGATGCAGTATCTGTCTACACACAGTTCAACTTATGTGGCTACTCTCCTAGAGATCAAAGGGTTATGTATATTTTCTGACACAACTGACTTTACAGGAGAACCAATTGGGAGGTGGATTGTCTAATAACCTCTGACCTAGAAGTGAAATCCTTGGGTGGTTGGCCTCCAGGGACCAGAAAGCTCCCTTAATAGGTAAAGAAGTAGGAGAAGATGAATGAAGGTCTTCTAGATTCAGAGGAAAGAGGGTGAGATTGTTGCCATTTCATTGATTTCCTTTTCTCAGTGATGTCTAAAGCAAAGTTATCTGTTGAGAAAGACAAATGAGGAGCGATTCATTAAGGGTTTAATAGAGAAGACATAAGATCTTAGGGAGTGGAAAGTGAGATTATTAGAAAAGCATGCAGGTAGGCCCCTGCTCCTCAGAACACAAGGATAACTGCCATAATCCCTTTAGTTCTTGGTCAGTGAAAATCTAAACATTTGTGCAAATCCCCTAGGGATTTCTGTCCATATAGCCATCTCTACCTTTGGGAATTCTATTTCTCAGTGCTGACTTCTGAGCCATTCTAGGGGAGAAACTCAATCCTTCTTCAAATTCAGCAGCAGCAATAACAAAAACAGTCACAAAGCGTCTGTGAACATGGTAGACATTAATTGCAATTTGAGGTAGAAGATGAGAGGACCAAAGATTTGCTTAATGGTTCTCAAATTTAGTGCACATCAGAACCACCTGGAGGGCTTGTTAAAGCACAGATTTCTGAGTAACATCCACATTGAGTAGGTGTAGGGTGGGGCTTGAGAATTTGCATCTCTAGCAAGTTCCCAGAAGATGCTGATGCTGCTGGCTGAGGACCACACTTAGAGAATGACTGATCACACAAAAATAATAGGAGCTCTGATAGTGTAGTGCCTAAGGCACTTGACAGCTAACCAGAAGGCTAGTGGTTCAAACCCACCAGCCACTCCTCGGAAGGATGGTTGGGCAATCTACTTCCTTAATGATACTGCCTCGGAAACCCAAAGAAGGGTCACTATGGGTCAGGTTCAACTCAACAGCACATAACAACAACAAAATAATAATAACAATCACACAAAAATAGTCACAAAAAGTAGGAAACTGTAATTTACTTTTCTTAAAATTTCACTGAATTGTCCTCTCCTTTCTCTGTCTCTGTCTCTGTCTCTCTCTCCTCTGTCTCTGTCTCTGTCTCTCTCTCTCTCTCTCTCTCCCTCTCCTTTCCTTGTTCTCCAGACTCTTCTCTCCCATTCTCTCTTAGGGGAAAGTACTCTTCCTTCTTTTGTAGAGGAGAGTACAGTCAGCTTTTTTATCTCGTTGCTGGGCTTTTCCAACAATCTTGCTTTTGGGGTTGCACAATGATTTTACAAATCATTCCCTCTAGAAAAATCTGCTGCCAGCTTTTAAGATAACATTTTGTACCTCCTTCTATCACTAGACACAGAGCTTTCCCAGAGGTTTTTTATGAGAGGGAGAATAAGATCATCCCCTCATCTTCCTCATCGTGTGGTCCTCCCAATTTAGCAGCCAGAACATAACCAGAAAAGGAAATCTTTATGAAGAACACCCCCCCATCTTCCTAATACACTTTCTCTAAAAATCACTTGCAGCTTTGTGCTTGCTTATGCTAATTCATAACAGGGGACTCATAGAGATACAGTCTGCCAGCTGGAAAGTAGGTAAAAAGAGAGGAGTGGGACCATTGACCAAGTGGAAAAGAAAACTAGAAAATCAGAAAAAGTCAGTCCTCACAAGTCATCAAAAGAGAAGGAGTTAAGAGAGAATGCTGAAAGCATTGCATATATGTGCAAGTGACATCCAAGGTGGGAGAGGACATGGGATTGGAAATTATACCAGCATGTATAGTACTTATTGATAAAAGCATGTTCGGTTCTGCTCCTGGGGGCTCTTCAGCCTGCTTTGCATTCATAGGCAATTTATCCTCCTTAATCACTAAATCATTAATGGCAATCGATAGCAATACCACACTAGTGAAGGCAAGGGTGGATGCAGGGAGAATTATTGGTTAGTTTTTTCATTTAGTAATGCTAACTGGGTGCAAAATGGGCAAGGAGGCCACATGTTCTGACCTCCTTTAATCCCACAAGAAGAAGACAGAGTCACCATCAATAACCCAAGGCGTATTCCTGCAAGGCCAGACATGCTGCCTCCCTCCAGCCCTTTCTCCAACAGTTCCTCCCAAAGCACCACCACCTTTCTCCTGGGTTCGATAATTCGCTGCAGTGGCCACACAGAACTCACAGATTATGAGGTTTATTAGGGAAGCACCAGGCTACAGTTCAAGTTCAGGAAAAATGCTCAGTCTCTCTCCCAGCCCACTGTCTCTCAGCCAAGTCTCTCACAGTCTGTCTCCCAGAAGTCCATGTCCCTCAGTGTCTTACTCAGCAACACATGTCTCTTGCGTCTCTTTCCCAGTAGCACGTGTCTCTTTTAGTAGTGTGTGTCTCTTTCAGCAGCACATCTTCCTCAACCAGCAGTCAGAGAGAGTTCTACTTCTAGGAGGTCTCCTTTTGAGGTTGGCAGAGTGACCAAACTTGCCAATCATAGCATCAGAACTCTAAGTACCTGAGAGAGAGCCTCCCATAACATTGCGTTGTGCCATTCCCAACAGAAACATTTACAATCAGGAGCTCCTCAGTTGCTCATTCCACCACTGAGTTTACAATGACTTATGGATAGAAAAGCCATACTAAGTAATTTACTACACTGCACTGGGCTTCAATCCCATTCCGTCAGGGAGTCCTTCTCCAGGGTATTGGAGACATAACTGTACCCACAGACGCAGCAGAAGTGAGTTGGGCATTTATTGCAAATTCATCTTATCTTACTGACCCCTCAGGAACTCTGAATAATTGAGCATATTTCACTATTTTTCAGCATAGTGAAATTCTAAA